CCTTTGTGTGAGTTTAATTGCATAAAGTTCATTTTATTGCAAATTTAGTAACTAGTAATTAGGTTTTAGTATCTGTTTTAGTTAGGTTAAAAACTTAGAATTTTTTTTTGAAAAAATTACTGATACTCGCCGAGTGCACTCGCACCTACTCGGGAGTAACAGCTTATTTTAGAAATTTTTCTTTTTTATTTGTTTACAATCTTTTTGTTCTTTTACGCTTTTATTTGATTAATTTCAGGACTTCATGACCAGAGGAGCAAATACACCACTGGTACCCGCCGTTTGAAGACCCCGAATCCGAATTGAAAAGAAAACAAAGGGAAGGACGTGGAGAGTTCAAGCACACCAAAGAAATCACCATTGTCCAACTTGAAGACTGTTTTCGGGAAAAAGAAGAGTAGCAAATCAGGAGCTTCAAGCGCTTCCTTAATAATTGAAGAGCCAATTCAAGAAGAGATTAGATACGAAACCGAGGAAGAAGACGAGGCACTTACGAACAAGACACCGAATCGGAGGAAGAGTTAGCAGTCACTATGGCTAACATTGATGAAATTCCCATGGGAGAATGGAAGAAGAGGATGCGCGACGACCATGGTCCGGGACTTGTGCAACCCGCAATTCCCGCAACTGCCACCTTTGAGCTAAAAGGTCATATCCTAGCTTCACTCAAGGAAATACCTTTCTACGGGAAAGATCATGAAGATGCCTACAAACATTTGGATGAAGTAAATGATGTTGCTGATTACTTCAACATTCCAAATGTCACCCGCGAAACTCAACTGCTTCGGATGCTTCCGGTAACCTTCAAGGGTGCTGCTAAAGACTGGCTCAAATCACTTCCTCCCGGGTCAGTCACTACTTGGGCCAGAATGAAGGAAGAGTTTATTGATCACTTTTGCCCACCATCCAAGATAGCCAAGCTCAAGAAGGCCATTGCAAATTTAGAACAATAAGCTGGAGAGTTGTTATGTGAAGCATGGGAAAGGTACAAAAGTCTACTACGAAATTGCCCACACCATGATCTAAATAGCCAACAAGAAGTTTCCATCTTTTATGATGGAGTCAATGTCACGACCCGACAGCTGCTAGACTCACAAGGCCCACTTACAAAGAAGCCACCCTGGTGATCAAAGAATTAATTGAAGAATTCTCTAAACACTCTAGAGAATACCACAACCCTAGGAATGATGTCACGAGGGGAGCCGCATACGCTGCTACTGAAGATTTATCCGCGGTGATGGCCATGTTAAAAACCATGGATAGAAGAATGGACAAAATGGATCAAACTATCCATGCCATACGGGTGGGTTGTGAGAATTGCAATGGACCTCACCTCACTAGGGATTGTGATTTGGATGAGCACGGAAACAAGAAGAAGGCACAAGTATGCTATTCGAGCGGTGACCGGTATGATGAAGACTGGCGAAAACAAAAGAAGGAGTGGCTGCCTTACGAAGAGTACAAGAAGGCCAAGGAGGAGAAGTATAGACCAAAAAGGGAGAGGCTTTTACCAAAAGGAGGAGCCGGTGCAAGAAAAGAAGCCAAGCTTGGAAGATATGCTAACTAAATTTGTGGCTGCTTCCGAGAAAAGACACAGTGACCACGATGCTGCTATCCAAGAAACAAGAACAATGCTTAGGAACCAGCAAGCATCCATCCATAATATAGAAACTCAGCTTGGGCAACTCGCTCAACACTAACCAAAGGTCACCGGGTGAGCTTCCTAGCAAAACCGAGAACAACCCACGAGGCGCGCAAGTGAATATTGTTACACAAGAAGTGGGAAGATTATTACTCCCCTGGCCCCCATCCGAACTGAAGCGAACAAGGACTCACAGAAGGAAGAAACGAAAGTACAAGTTGAAAACCAACATTCACAATCTGAGAGCCCTACTCGCCGAGTAGGACCGATGGACTCGGCGAGTACATCTGAAAAAACTAATGATCAGCCACCCTTGAAACCATACCAACTCCAATGCCATAACCCAGCCCGAGCCAAGAAGGAGAAGCAGGAAGAGGAATATCAGAAGTTCCTTGATCATATTAAAACCCTTCAAATAAACATTCCTTTCATTGAAGCCGTTATGCAAATGCCCAAGTATGCAAAGTTCCTTAAGGAACTCCTCACTAATAGAAGAAAGATGGAAGAAGTGCAGAAAGTGGTATTGAATGAGAATTTCTCCGCCGCCATGCTAAACAAATTACCAAAGAAGAAGGGTGATCCGGGGAGCTTAACTCTACCTTGCCAATTTGGCAACTTGGCAGCAATTCATGCTTTAGCTGATTCTGGAGCGAGTGTGAACCTTATGCCATACTCGTTCTTCAAAAACTGGACCTCGGAGCCAAGGCCAATTCGATGGCAATTCATTTGGCAAAACAAGACGGTTACTTTCCCAAGAGGCATATGTGAAGATTTATTAGTGAAAGTAGACAAATTTGTCTTCCCGGCTGACTTCATCATTCTCGACATGGAGGCGGATCCACAAGTACCAATCATCCTTGGAAGACCCTTCCTCAACACCGCTAGCGCCATCGTAAATATGAGAGATTCAAAACTCACATTGCGAGTTGGGGACGACTCAGTAACATTCGGGGTAGACCAAGCCATGAAGTACTCAAGGAGTAGTGACGACACGGCGTTCTCAATCGACATGCTTGACGAGTTATTGGAAGAAGACATACCTGAAGATCCCAGCAAGTTTGCAGCTTTGGAAGAAGTATTTGATCCAGAAAAAGACTTATTAGAGATTGATAGACTGTTGGAGGAAGCAGAGTATGAAGAACTAAAAAACCAAGCTGAAAGCCCTACTCGCCGAGTAGACCCGATCTACTCGCCGAGTACACCTGAAGAAAAGTCAGCAGTCGCGAATACCGCCATCAACTCGCCGAGTACCATACCTGCACTCGGCGAGTCCGCCACTATGCACAATAAATTGGAGCTCAAAACACTGCCTGACCATCTGGAATACGCCTTCCTGGAAGAAGGAAATCAGAAGCCAGTGATTATAGCCTCAGATCTCTCCAAGACGGAAAAGGAAGAGCTTGTACGGGTGTTGAAGAAAAGGAAAAGAGCCATCGCATGGAGCATCTCCGACATAAAGGGAATAAGTCCATCCTACTGCTCTCACAAAATCAACTTAGAAGAAGGAGCCAGGCCGGTGGTGCAACATCAAAGAAGATTAAACCCGAACATGCAAGAAGTCGTCAAGAAGGAGGTGGTCAAGCTTTTGGATGCAGGAATCATCTACTCCATCTCCGATAGCCCATGGGTG